GTTACGAATGTGGCGTCGTGCTAACCGCGCTGTGTCTCCTTGTCGCTCCTCCAGAAACTCCTGATCCAGTTCTACCCGGTAAGCCCTGACCTGAGATCAGTGCCGCCCGGTGTGAGAGGCGGAGTCTGCAGTGATCTGTGTGTCTTTGCAGGACGAGGTGAACAGCAGAGTCTCAACAGACGGTAAATGCTCGGTGAGTGAGGTCAGGGGTCAGGGGTCAAAGGTCAAGATGCTGATGCAATAGGATGAGAGAAGAAGTCGTCTCGGTATTTCTGTTATTTAGAGCTGCAGCCGTTCATCGATTAGCCTTCAACTGAATTATTATTATAAATATCTAAAGGAAAAAGTCTAAATTACCTGATCACATCGTTCTATATTACTGGTATCTTTGACCCTTAAACATTAAAATGAATCATCATTATTTATGAACGAACCAATCATTTCAGAAACACCTTTTTTAGCAATTTTCTTAGCAAATACGCATTAGATGCAGCAATAATTAATGTAATGTATAATGTATGTATTTTATTATTACTTTTTCTTTATGACTTTCATTAGTCAAATGTCGACCCTTTGTCAACACTTTTTTGAATCCTGTTTACATTTGTGGAATATTATCGTTATTGTTATTGTAGATGGTTATAATAATAAAAATACTTTTATTCTAAGCGCAACCGAGTGACCGGCGTCTTCCCCGTCTGCTGGATGATGCAGCAGATGATGCTCATGTGACGGACTACAGAGTCTGCTGAAACGCTCTGTTTATTTTCTCTCTTCAGGCTCGTGGGTTTTTCTCAAACCATGAAGGGAAGAAGCTGTGCCTGTTTCTTCCTCTGTGTTTGCAGTGTTTAACCAGCAAATGTCTTCCTTCTTCTCCTCAGATCATAGAGAGGACCGAGTCTCTGAGGAAAAGGTCAGTCAGGGGGAAACAGCAAGTGCAGAGGAGCTCAGATGAAAACAACCTGCTTGGATGAAGCTCGTTCATTATTCTAACAGACGTGTACGTTTCTCCATTCTTCTGAAGCACCAGTCACATCAAGAAGACTCCGTCCCCGGTTGTCGTCTCGAAGATTGACAAGAAATTGGAGCTGTACGCACAAGCTCTCGAGGTAAAAAGGCCTCCTCCTTTTCTCCTCTTTTGGAAAACGAGGAGAACTGACGCCCGAGCGTCCTGATCCCCACTTAGGTCTCCACGAAGGACGGCCGGCCGGGGGCTCAGACGCCGACGGACCTGACGAATCCCGCCGAGCGCGTCTCCTCCAAGAAGAGCCTGTTTGAGCCCGGAGACACCCGGAGACACAACGCCCCCCCGGGCTCCCCATCGAAGGTCAACCATAGGTCAACGGATCGCCGTCTACCTCGGCTCCTGCATGTTGATGTATCTTCTTCTCTTCTCCGGCGCAGGATGCAGACGGTTTGAAAGTGGGTGTGGCTAATCTCATCAATCAGTGGGTGGGAGGGAGCGAAGGCGGGAGCAGGTGCAGCTCGTCTTGCAGACCAGCGGTAAGGCTGCACACCACGGGTTCCTCCGGTTGGAGCTTCCTCTCTGCTACCACAGCTAGCGTTTCTTCACCTGCTGTGAAACATCTCAGCAGTCAGGGAAGGCCCGCCTCCTTCTGGCTGCATTCAGAGTAATGCTTAAAGCCAAGGACTCATTTAACACGTCTAAAGCTGCAAACTGCTTCCTTCATCTTGTGAATGAGTGAAGGGGAGGATTCCCTGTGCACGTTGAAAGTGGAGCTGATGAGATCACGCTGAAGTCACACGTTTTATCGGCTGAGTTTCAGGAGAACTTCTCCGGGAAAAGGTTCAAGTTCGTGGTGACGGGTCACGGAAAGTACGAGAAGGTTCCTGTGGAGGACTGCAGAGAGGAGGCCCACTGCCCGCCAGGTGAGACCACTCACTCCTCTCATCCGCTCATTAATTCACTTATCCACTCATTCATTGATTCATTCGCTCATTTAGTGGTTCATTCATTTACTCATTCATGAATTCATCCATGCATTCGTGCATTCAATTGATTGATTCACTCATTCATTAGTTCATTCATTCAGTCATCCATTCATCCATATATTCCCTTATTCATTGATTCATTAAATCATTCATTGATTTCTAGTCTGTAATGTTTAAATTCTAACATGTTTGAATATATTTCTGTTTTGAATTGTTTAAAACAAATAAAAGAATTTTTAACAAATTAAAATTCTACTTTTACTAAACAAATTCAGTAGTTAAAACTTCCTCAGAGATTTGATTAATTGTTTTTCTGCAGCTCGTTCTCACTTTGAACTTGATATCATAATCTTTCATTCGTCTGAGGAAAAGTTAAGAATATATGAGACTGGAACTGTCTTTGTCTTGAACATTTTTCATGCTTTCTATTGAAATGTGTCCTTTTATTTCGGACCCGCTGGGAGGACTTCACGTCTTCAGCGGGAGCGAGAGGCTTTGAGCCACACAGAGTTTTTATTGGTGCTCTTGATGATGATTCAATCATTCAAATACACAAAACGTTTGACTTCTTTTGAAACATTTTTTTAAGGAGCCAATCCTGATATAAAGAAGTGAGAAGCACAAGACAAGAACTTCACGTTCACCTTTATGCCTCGTTGAGAATCACAGTGAGAAAAAAACATGTTTAAACTCCTGAAATAGAGACAAAAAGGTTCAAAATATCAACAACAACAACATGCAAACATATTTTTACGGCAGCACTAATATTCTCCAAAGCTGTGAAACATCACAAGACCATGAGCTTCTCATCCAGGTATCGATCCATCTGCTCTTACTGCAGGCATCTTCGTCATGTCTTTGGTCTACATCCTGGTTACATTATGAACTCCGTGACTTTGTTCAGGAGTTCAGGCTGATCCACCTCAAGGCAACAAAACACCACTGTTTGGAAATGTTTTGTATCATTATCATCATTGTTGGAAAATAATGGATCCTTCACAGTTGACCAACAAAGACGACATTTCACTGATAAACAGTCCATCTTCATACAACCCTGGTGGCAAAAAATAATCCTATTTTAGGCCCGGCTCAGCTGAGATGTCCTCACAATAACTAGTAACCAAAGTTCTCACTGTGACAATGCCCACATGCTAAAGTACAACCAGTAACGCTTACCATGTGTAGGCACACTAACGTTTTGTAATTAAGTACAGCTCGGTCCACATTGCAAAGCCTTCAGAGGTACCAGCCCGTGTGCTTCTCCTCTTTCTCTTGCTGCTTCCTTTCCAACCATCCAGACTTCCAGAACCCTAAATCCGCTGCGACCTGACTCGACCCCAGCTGGGTCTTTCCTTCTTTGAAAACCCATCTGCCCTGTTCCTCCAGGAATGTAAAAGCCCTATCCATTACAGATATCACAAACTGCCTTGTAGCGGTGAACACTAAAAGCCTCTTTAGAAAAATAGAAAAAGGTAGGACATGTCAAATTAAGCAATCGTCTCTCTGTCGAAGCATCTAGAGTCCTCGCATTCAAAGCTACATTCAGACTATCGTCAAATGGAAGATGGAGACTCTAACAGAGTAGTTGCTCAGCAATGTTCTCCTCTTTCGTCGCCTTATTTAGCAGCTGAGTTATTGACGTATACCTTCTAATAACCAAAACTGGTGAAAATATCAGAAATATACTATATAAGTACTTTTCTGAGCAAGTAATCAATTACACTAATCTACCTTCTCACTGCAGGACTGATTTCTAATTATTAAATAAATCCCCCCCCCTCCACCCACGTATTGTCACTCATCACAAATATACTTCTTCATCAGTTCAGTTATCTGTAGTTTTCTTTGGACCGAATCCTTTCGCCTTCCTGTTGAAGTCCTTGTGTTCGTCTTCCTGCGATTTGCGCTTGATCAGCCCCTTCTCGAACACCGCGGATATCTTCGAGAGCGGCTTCTCCGCCGCCTCCTTCAGCTTCCTGGCATCAAACCGGGGGCTGTACAACAAAATCGGCAGGCGACTGACAAAAGAAGGAACTTCCCCTTGATTGTCTTTAGGTACCTTTTTCCTCTCCGGTTCCTTCTTGTTGGCGTTGATCTGGTGCATGATTCGGTCTTTAGTGGAGAACATCTGAAAGAGGAGGACGTCCCACATCTTAAACCCCTTGGGACCCTCCTTGTCGTCCAGCACTTCCTGAAAAGCACATTGGTCTGCCGATGACTCATCGCCGCCTCGATCCGTTCTCCCGCAGCTGGAATGGACCTGAGGTTCGGCCTTCGGCTCCGGAAACGACAGTTCGTCCGGCTCGACGACCATGTGTTTCTTGAGCCGGGTCCATCCGCTGAGCTTCCCCTTGAGGCCTTTCGGCTTCTGGGCCGCTTTGTGCTCAGTGGACGGCCGGCATGTCCCCGCCGCCACGGCTTTCTCGTCAGCAGTTGAAGATGCAGTTGATGTCGCTGACTTCCTGGAGGGTTCGAACGCCGGGGCCGCCGTCGGCGGGGCCGTTGGTTCCTTTGCCTTGCCTTTGAGTCCAGTTTTTCGCTGAGATGGCGGTGATTGTCCTCTGTTTGGGGATGGAGGTTTGACTGAGACTGAGGCCTGAGGCAGAGGGGCAGGAGTGACAGGGTCAATCACAGCGGCGCATTCTATGGACGGTTTCATGACAGTGTCTATTGCTGGCTTTGAAGGGGACACATTCTCAACAGGTAGCTCAGTCCAAGTCTGAACGTTATTGGCGCGCGGGCTAATCTTGTCTGGATCAGGAGAAGACTTTGAGGAATCTGTTTTTTTAACTGGGGGTTCTGCCTCTACAGGTCTTGATTCTACCTGCTGTGTGGGAGGTTTTGCTTTCAGGGAAGGTTTACTGGTTATAACAGGATCGTCCGATTGGATTCGATCGCTAGTTTCAGCATTCAGCGAGGAGACTTTCCCCCCCTTACTGGAATCTGTTCCTACGTTTGGTTTTATCTTTTTCATTTGGAAAAGTACTTCTGCACTGTTAGCCAAGACGTAGGGGTCTTTAGCGAGGGTCGGCTTTAAAATGTTCTCTGGGATCGACTTAGCAGAGGCCTCTATGGTGCTAATTGGTGTTTTCGTTTGAAGAAGTGGAATGGGATTGTTTGTCTGCTCTTTAATGGAAGCGTTTTCTGCAGTATTGTTTAAAGGGACCGGAGTCGGAGGAGACTGGGGTAAGCTTGGAGTAAAGCTCTGAGTAGGTGTGTTACGCAGTCTTGCCTCTGGTCGAGGGGAGGCTCGTGTTGAGCTCCAGGGTTGAGTTACTCCTGGAGGGATGAGTGGGCCTTTAGCATCTCCCGTAGCGTAAACAATAGCTTGAATGTTTGTGGTGGTGTGGTTGTTTAAATGAGTGTGCTTGACGGTACTGAAGGTGTGAGTATTAGTTTCTCTAGATTTGTTAGTTTCACTGATCGATTCCCTAAATTGTTTCACTCCAGTCTGAGAGTTCACTGGAGTAACAGAGGTTAGAGCTTTATCTCCAGACAACGTCCTCTGACTTGCAATTCTTTGCTGTTCTACAGTGTGAGCCGTGACGCAACCAGAAGAAGAGGACACGTTTCCCTCGGTCGTAGACATTATGAAATGTTTTGCCCCTGTAGCGAGACTTGCTACAGATTCATTCACTACAATTGGCTGAACAAAAGGGGATTGTTCTTTTACGGTGGATTTAGTTTTACTCTGTGATGCAGATGTCCCAGATGATCTACACTCCGCAAGAACGTTGCGGATCTGTCCATCATCTGCTTTTGAGTTTGTGTAGATTCTTGTTTGAGCAACACTGCCACACACAGATTTTGCACTGATGTGCGTTTTTGCTGCCGGTAGACTCTCTGTTCTGTCTGATCTCAGCGGAGGGCTTTTAAGTGTGACGTGATCAAATGATGGTTGAACGCTCACGTCTTGGTCTGTCATCGTAGGCTTAATGGATTCTGAATTAGGCTTGCTGTGGACTTGAATATTGATGCCTGAATTGGATTTGTTGGACTGCGCAATTTCTGCAACATGTCTGACGTGTTGAGCGGTCTCTAAACCTCCTGGTTGTCCAGGTGATGCCGAGTCGGTGTACGACTTGCAGTCTGTTATCAATCCTGCAGGCGTGTTCAGCTGTGTCATATCTGCCCTGGGGCTCTCTGTTGGTGATTTGAACAAAATGACTGTGTGTCGTGCTGGGTAGCTCACTCCGGTAGGGTCGATATTATCGTAAGTGGGGAGCTTCACTTCTGCATCAACTGCTTTAGTTCTTATTGAGTTTTTGTAGAAATGTGCTGCTTGAACACTTTTCTCTCGGCCACCAGATAACATGCTACTCTGTGTGTTTGGATGTACATTCTCAATAGTTTTGGTGAGCTTTTGGGCTCCTATTGTGGACACAGTGGAGGTCATGTCTGGAGGGAATTTATTGCCGTAAAAGTTGGGTGACTTGCTTCTAGTGACTAAACGGTCAGGTATTTTGGTTTCTGTGCCAGGTTTGCCCACTAAGTTACAATCAACAGCAGGTGTTTGTGGTGCACTTGGTTTTTGAAAAGTTGGGAAAGTTAAGCTTCTTCCTGGAAAATGGGTCTTGTGTCCTACAGTTTGGCTATTCCTGGGAATTTTAATTTCAGTGTGAAGCTGTTGCAGAAATGTTGTGCTTTGGACAGCTGCATAGGCTGTGCTGAGACTACAGTGTGCGGAACATACAGATGCTGTGACAGGCTCGTATTGCAAAACAGATCCTGTGTTAGCGATTAATTCGGAGTTACATGACATAGAAGGCAAAATGGTTCCTGTGTTTGTTTTACTTAGTTGAGTAACTTTACTTTGTTCATTTAAAATGCCTTCAGCGGGTCGTGGGGTTTCAGAAACCAGTTTGACAGCTTGCTGGATTCCTGAAATGAATCCTTCATTTCTTATGGCATCCCATAGTAATTTGGGCTCGTGATCTGTGGCAGAAGACGGAACAACCATCTTTTTATGGTCAACCAGGTCTTTAAGAGGCTTGGCGGCGTGCTGGACATTGAGGCTATTGGCTGTTGATGGACTGACTCCACCGGGCGTTTGGACAGACTGAACCAGAGATCTCTGTGGTTGTCCTGACTGGTTTGTGGCACTGATGACTTTGGATTTTTCTTTTGTAGTTGTTTTCTCAAGATTAGAACCTTTCTCTATCTCTTCTAAACTATGCTGATTTTTAACATTTGGTTTTACTTTGACTGAGGCTGACGAGCTATTCATCTGATTATTGCTATCATTCAGGCGAGTCGTATTTTGTGCTGCCTCTATAGAAAATAGTGCCACACTTTGTGTGTTTGCCTCACCTGCTTTAGACATTGGTATTGGATCCTCAGAGTATGAGGCTTTTGGGGTGGATACATCACTTGTGGATTGCTGCATTGTGTTCTCTGACAAGCCAATGGGAAGCTCTGGTTTTATTGTGTCCACGCTAGATGTTTTTACTGATTTGGTTCCAACACTTTGAGCTGCAGACTGAGTTTCCTCAAAAACATCTTTGCTAGGAGTGACGATCCGCTCAGCCGGAAGCTCAAGATCCCTTTGGTGCTGTACGATTTTAGCACCAGTGAGCTCCATTGGGGACAGAAGATCTTGATGTCCATTGAGTTCTTGTGTTCCATCAGACCGGGACACGTTTAAAGCTATGCCGGTTTGGTTTGAAGAGGTTCCGTTAACCCTGGGGGGCGCAGGGCTGCGATGGGAAGCTTTAGTCCTTATCCCTCCGTAGGCAGCATACTCAGATGGAGTTAGCCCATAATATGTTGATCGTGATTTGGGTTTTGAGGTGGCTAATGACATTTGATTCTCCAATAGTGAGGACAAAGACTTGCGTGCATCCAGCGCCGGGGGGCGATGAGGGGACGGCCGGGGGCTCAGAGGTGCTTGAATGGAAATCACTGCCGTAGCGTCCAGATTTGAATTATTTGCCACAGTAGAAAGAAATGATGGGACTTTTGGCAAAGACGAAGCCTCACTTTCAGAAACCTGGCTAATTTGTAGCATTGGGATGACTGGTTCTATTGGTGCTGGTTTCACCGCAGCAGAGTCAAGTACAGTCACACTAGATGCTAAGTTTAGATTTATCGTACTCCGTTTTGTCTCTTCATAACCGCTGACTGGTTTGATAGCAGTAATGTGATGCACATCAGTCCTTTTTAGTTCCTGTTGGGCAGCTGGCAGTTTACTGGTAACACCGGTTTGAATCGTTGATTTCTGTCTTGGGCCTTCGTTTGTAATTGTAGGAGCTTGTGGCTCTTGGGAGGCCTTGAAAACAGCAAATAAAAGTGGGTTAGGTTTGGATATTTCAATGAAGGGCGTGGACACTCGAGCTGGTGCTGAAGAGGGAGTCTTAGGTCTTCCACATTGGGAGGTTGGCGAATTCCATTTCTGTTCAGCTTTCACCACTGAAACAGCGGTTTTCTTGTACTCGTCAGGTAGCAATGGCCACCGGCACGACAGGTCCTGGATGGAGGGAGGTTTAGAGATCTCATAAAACGTTGCCTTTGACGTATAAACCCTGCTTTGTGCGGCGTCGGGCCTCGTCTCTTTAATGGGTTCAACAAGTGATATTTTTGAGGCGGTTATCTCAGGGGACATCGGGCTTGGGACAAAGTTGCCATTACTGGCGGGTATGGCAGTCCAGGGCGCCGTTCGGCTTTGGCCGTTGCCCTTTGAACTGTCATCTGTCGCCCCCTGGCCGGGAACAAAGGGTTGTGTTTGAGAGTTTGGAACTGACAGCAGCGCTGGAAGAGGAGGTGGGTCGGAAACCTGAGAGGGAGCCATTCCTGGGCCACAGTTGGGGGCGGCCACGCATAGGGTGAGGCTGTGAGTTGATATTTTAGGGCTGGACTGCGACACGGCTTCTAAAGGGACTGTCCTGACTGACCCGTGGGAATTTGGTGTCATGTTTGCGTGGAAAGCAGAGGGAAGAGTCGGTGCTAGAAGCCGCTCGGGTGGCGCCGAAACCAACGGTGGCAGCATGAAAGGACTGACGTCGTCGAATAGAAAAGAGGAGCACTCGTACAGCGGAGCCACCTGCTCTTCAGAAATCCTGACCCGGGCTGTGTGGGACGGGGGTGGGAAGCCGCCTGGGGGGCCGTAGGGGCTGCTCCGAGGGTGAGGGAATGCAGATTCAGGGCCATCATAGAGGGAGTCGAAGGGGAAACTGAACACCGAAGGGTCCGCAGTGTGGACCGAATCCGGCGTCGTCGGCGGGCTGGACTGGTCGCTGTGCTCCAGGTCCGTGCTCGCCTCGTTGACGGGCGACAGGCAGGAACGAAAGGGGACGGGCGTCTGAGAGAGGCTGCCCTTCTTCTTGGTTCTCTTCTTCTTGAGTTTCTGAAGCCTGGCGTTGTCTTTGCCCGGTTTGGGCGGTAAGGGCGGAGGATACTGCTGGGAGAGGTCGGGCTCCAGCCCGTTAACGTAGCCCACTTCCATCAGCATCTTCAGACCCCTGCAAGACAGAGACGAAACACATCAGTCCCGCTGCCTCCAGACGGAAATCGATTTATGTAATAACAGCAAAGCAGTAAATAGGAGGGGTGAAATGTAAAAGTCGGTTTCATCATAATTAATAATCAAATGCTTATAATAACATTTGTGGTAAAACTGAGCCAAGGTCCAACAAATGTTTCCTGGAAAGGTCACACGTCATGTTGCCTGCCAAGGAATCAGAATATGAAGACGTCAGAGCAGATATTTGGCTCTGACGTCATGAGATATCTCAGCAGCTGGTCAAACAATCCCAGTTAGTATTACTGATATATAACAGATAATTGACTGTTTATATCATCATATCATATATCATATGTATTTTCCTCCTTTTCAGCTGGACACTTCTACGAGGATCTGTGAAGCACATGCTGGACTTTGAAGGTTGAAGATGGTGGATTATGAAAACGTCAATGCTGCAGAAACCTCCGCTATCACTTCATCACTCTGCATTTCAAGCTTTATGTTGGAAATGTACTTAAATCCTCTTGTGAAACATATCTTCCTAACGGTAGTAAATAGATTTTTATTCTTTGCAGCTCCTCCTTTTCTCTTGTGGACAATAACCTCCGCAGTGGTAAATCTTTTCTTACAATGAGATAATAATTAAACATTTGAGTATTATGTGGATGTGCTGCAGTCCTTTGCTGTGTAGAAGAGCTCACGGTAGCTTCTGCTGTGTCCTTCTGCAGCCGCACTGATCCAACCCGCGCTAACGGCCTCCGGACGAGCGGCCGACGTTAGAAAACTGAGCTCTCGTGACGACGGGCTCGTTGGAGGTGTTAAAACTCTTAATTGGGTCCTGAAGATGCTGCATGGCTACGAGCATGTTGGAAATAGAAAGGCATGTAAAGTGGCAAAGCTGCTTTGAAACGATGACAAACTACTTATGAGAATAGTCTCTCAAGGAGACAGTCGGATTTAAAAATGACCTCTGCAGGAGTTAAAAGGAACCCCGGAGGAGGTTGAGTGACAGGTAGAGGAGGGGGACCAGGTTCGCAAAGGTCAAAGGTCTGAAGCAATGAATTAACGTGCCTTCATTTTTCTTACTATTATAATCGTAAGTCAAAAGGAAACGACAATGATTCTAATCACAAACACAACAACGAATAAGTCATAGATTTATTTCAGGCACCTAAACTCTTCTGCGTCTCATGTGTGACACCACAACCAGTTCCACGGCCTAACTTTAGCCCGCAGTGGGGGGGGGGGGGGCAACTGACACCGAGCACCTGCTGCTCGCCGTCCAGCATCCAGACCGGAAATCGATCCTCTCCGGGCCGACTGGGCTCTAATGCTCGTGTTTCACCTTTAATATTTCCTATTAGTCACGTTAGCGCCAGTCGGCTCTGAGATTATTGCACTAAGTTTGGTATCAAATCTGTAAATTACACAATTGCTTTTAAGTATAGAAGCTGCAACGCAAAAACACGCTACGAGAACTGTGGCTGCTGACTTCAAACGTAAACGATGTTTGGCGGGAACAGGAATCGCTGCCGTGAGTCGTGGGGACACACGAGAAGCCCCCCCACCGCCCCCCCCCACCTTTAAGGCCCTGCTTTGGAAACCTGGCAGGCTTCGACTGGAGCTCAAAAGAAGAACGTAAGAAAGATTACTGTGTGATAAAACTGTGCCCGGACCCTCACTGGATAAAATGGAAGGCCGAGCTCTCTCTCGAAGTGGGGCGATGTGAGCAGCGCCCCTACTGAAGTGGAAGGAAGTGTTGGGCCGGCGCGAGAACAACAACTACGGGACCGGAAAGTGACTTGAGGTCCAGGGGAAAAATTCAACGGTCGGCTCATGGGTGTCTCTCTCTCCGGGACCCCGAGGGCACCGCCTCTCCCCTCGTCGACACCCGCGGGGAAGGAAATCCACCCGAGGTTAACCTCCCCCCCA